GATGTTAATAATGATGGATAGATGTTGAAAATGATGGACAGATGTTGAAAATGATGGATATATGTTAATAATGATGGACAGATGAGGTTTAATGAAGAACAGATGTGGTTTAATGATGATAGACGTTAATAATGATGGACAGATGAGGTTTAATGAAGGACAGAGTGGTTTAATGATGATAAATGTTAATAAAGATGGATAGATTTTAATAATGATGGACAGATGAGGTTTATTGAAGGACAGATGTGGTTTAATGGTGATAGATGTTAATAATGATGGATAGATTTTGATAATAATGGACAGATGTGGTTTAATGATGGAGATATGTTAATAACGATGGACAGATGAGGTTTAATGAAAAACAGATGTGTTTTAATGATGATAGAGGTTAATAATGATGGATATATGTTGATAATGATGGACAGATGTTGTTTAATGATGAACAGATGTTGTTTAATGATGGACAGATGTTAATAATAATGGACAGATGAGGTTTAATGAAGGACATATGTGTGGACAGATGTTGTTTAATGATGGACAGAAGTTAATATTGATGGACAAATGAAGTTTAATTAAAGACAGATGTGGTTTAATGATGGACAGATGTTTATGATGATGCACATATGTTAATAATAATGGACATATTTGGTTTAATGATGGACAGATGAGGTGTAATGAAAGACAGATGTGGTTTAATGATAATAGACGTTAATAATGATGGATAGACGGTGATAATGATGGACAGATGTTGTTTAATGATGGACTGATATTAATAATGATGGATAGATGAGGTTTAATGAAGGACAGATGTGGTGGACAGATGTTGTTTAATGATAGACATATGTTGTTTACTGATGGACATATATTAATAATGATGGACAGATGAGGTTTATTGAAGGACAGATGTGGTGGACAGAGTGGTTTAATGATGATGGATAGCTGGTAATCATTATGGACAGATGAGGTTTAATGAAGGACAGATATGGTTTAATGATGATAGATGTTAATAATAATGGATAGATTTTGATAATAATGGACAGATTTTGTTTAATGATGGACATATGTTAATAACGATGGACAGATGAGATTTAATGAAAGATGGATGTGGTTTAATGATGGACAGATGTTGTGTAATGATGACAGATGTGGTTTAATGATGGACATATGTTG